TTTTTTTTTTTTTTTTTTTTTTTTTTTATAAATTAAACTATTAAAAATAATTTAAATTTTATGTTATTCTTATATGTAACTCTGTTAGTGTTTTTTTTTTTCATTTTTAATTTTTAGACATTTAAGATCTTATATATATTTTCCATATAATTTTTCATTATATTGTAAAATAAAAAAATTTATTTGATTATTTTATTATTTACACATTAACATAAATAATGGTTTCATTTGTATTTAGACTTTAATAAACTTAATTTCTTGAAGATTATATTTTTTTTAGACTTTTTTATTATTTCTCTTTTTTTTTTTTTTTTTTTTAATTTTGTATTATATACATATTTATATTATTATTTATTTTACTTATTTTAATTCATAAGGAACCCAAAAAATGTTTATTTGTAACATTTTACATCCATTTACATTATTTTTTTAAATTTTTATTATTTTTAATTCTTTTGTTTTTGTGTTATTTTATTTTTTTTGTAGACTTTTAAAACAAATTGTGAGAAATTTATATTTGAAAAAAAAAAAAAAAGGAAAAAAATAAAAAATAAAAAATAAAAATAAATAGTAATATTAGGAAAAGTATTATATAAAATACAAGTGTACTTTTTAAATTCAGATAAATTTTTAGAGTTAAGAAAAAAAAAAAAAAAAAATTATTTTAGTAAAAGATGGTAGAAAATGAGAATGAAGAAATAACAGATATTGAATCAGTTTTTAGTGATTATAGTTATGATACTGATACAACTGCAAGTATTAATAACAGTGATAATGAAGAATCAGATGGAAATATTCAAATAAAAATAAAACGAGCAATTGAAAATAGAATATTAGAAGAGAATAAAAAAAAAAGAAAAATATTTAATTTTGAAAAAAAAGGTTACAAATTAAAAACTAGAAAATTAGAAATTTTTAAAAATAGGAATATAAAAAAAAGCATTGAAAATATAGAAAATTTCAATAGTAGTAATATAAAAAGTCTTAGTATAGATGATATTTATAATAAAAGGGAAAAATACGAAGATACATATTCAAAAAAAAAAAAAAAAAAAAAAAAAATTTTTTTAAAAAATGAAAATATAGAAATTTATGAAATTGAATCTCTTTTTCAATTTAATATTGTAGAAAACAAATCTACATCTTCTTTAAAGGATACACAACTAGTTAAAATGAGTAAAAAATTAAATAAAAATCATTTTAATTTTTTAACTTGTATTTCGAATGATAGATCTAGTTTATCGGTTACTTGTAAAACCCTTAAAACAGTAGAAATAATACAAAAAAAAAAAACTCCTGTAATTTTTTTTCAAGGAATTATGCATAAAATGATTGATATAATAGAAAAAAAATTATCAGACGATTATGAAATAATTAAAATAGAAGATATTTTTGGAGAAAGATTAAATTATTTTTTTTTGATATTAATATTAAAAAAAAATTTCAAATTAATTAAAAAAGAAATATTTACATTTTGCGATTCTATGGTAGACAAATATGCTATAAAAATTTTAATTAACTCTGTAAATAATCCAGATGAAAATATTTTGTTAATTAATACTTCTCATTTAGAATACAATATTTCACTTAATAAAGAAAAAAAATTTCAATTTCGACATTATTTTATTGATATATTACAAAATACGAAAGACAGAAAAAAAAAAAAAAAAATGAATACTATAATACTATGTGATAATTTTGATTATACAAATGATGATATTAAAAAAAATGATTTTCTTTTTAATATTTTAGATAATTGGGATACTTTAAATTTTTCTGAAAATTTTCAAAATTCAAGAAATTGTTTATTAAATAAAAACACATGTAATAAGTTTTTTTTTTTTAAATCTAGAAAAATATTCCATAGAATTTATCGTATTAAAAATAATTCAAATAATTGTTCTAATTATATTCCTTTTAAAAAAATTGATTAAAAATATTATTAATATAATGTAGACACAAAAAAAAATCATCTGAATTTATCAAAATTTTCCATTATAAAGGAATGAAAAGAAAAGAAAAAAAAAAAAAAAAAATTTTAATTAAATTAAAAAGATGAAAAATAAATTGAATATTAATAATATATAATTTCTCTATAATAGATATGAATATGTTACAAAAAAAAAAAATTTTGAATTATAATATCATTATATTCAATATATAAAGTTAGAAATTATATAAAGTTAGAAATTGTATAAAGTTAGAAATTATATAAAGTTAGAAATTATATAAAGTTAGAAATTATATAAAGTTAGAAATTATATAAAATTATGTTTATATATATATTAATATTTTAGTATTTGAGAGTATTCATATATATATATATATAAATATTCCATCCACAAAATATCAATATTTACATTTTATTTTTAGTATTTTTTTATTTTTTTTTTAAAATTATTGTAATATACTTTTCTTTTTAATGATTATAATTCTTAGTAATTTTTAACTCTTTATATGTTTGTATATATAATTTCATTTCTACATACTTTATTAGTTATAATTTAATGATAAACTTATTTTATTTTCCTTTTTTACAAAAAGTGAAATAAAAAAATTAAGAATGTTTTTGTTCTATAGATTAACACCTGGTGTAAATACAAAGAAAAAAAAAAAAAAAAAAAAAAAAAAAGAATTTTTTCACTTGCACAACCTTTTAGGATGAACAAAATGCTTAGTCAGAAAATTATCTATCTTGTGAAAGAATTCCAAAGTTGAGACTATTGCAACACAAAGATAAGGATGAAATTGCCTAGATAGTGTTTAATCTAAGTCAGACTGATCATACCAGTGAGTTACAAACAACACAGCATTGGTTCTGACAAATGAGACATTAAAACAGATACAAAATTCCTGTTATATAAGGGTAAAACAAGTCCCTTAAGGCATCTTTATTTCAAAACTTATCAATGAGAAGTTGAATGATTGACAAATCTGGAAGATACAAACTTGAAAATCTCTAGATATTAGGCTGAAGAAAAAATGAGTAGGAAGAAAAATTGTTCAAGGCCTTCTAAAAACAGATAGAAGCAGCATCACATTCGCAGACTCTAGTATTCATGAGGGAGTTCAACCATTATGATGTTTTCTGGAGAATAAAAAAAAAAACACATCCATAAACGATGAAGCTGGGTAGTGCTGAAAATAGCTTCCTAGTCCAATTGAAAAAAATTTGTTATTTTTTTATTACAAAATACATTTTTTTCATTAGATACAACCATAAATAACTTTTTATTGAATTTTTTTTAATTATTTAAAATAG